GGGGCGGGGGGTCCGGGGGACAGTCAGGAGACAGGGAGCAGGGGGCATTTGGATGGGGTGGAGGTTCTGGGGAGGGCGGTCAGGGGATGGGAAGCGGGGGGTTTGGATAAGCGTGGGAGTCCCAAGGGGCGTGTCAGGGGGCGGGGGTGTGGATAGGGATCACGAGATGGGGAACAGGGGGGTTGGATAGGCATGGGGGTCCCGGGAGCCTGTCAGGGGGCGGGGATGTGGATAGGGGTCGGGGCAGTCAGGGGACAGGGATTGGGGGGGTTGGATAGGGGGTGGGGTCCTGGAGGGATGATTAGGGGTGGGGGGTCCCGGGAGGGGGCGGTCAGGGGATAAGGAGCGGGGGGGAGGGGTTGGGTTGAATGGGTCGGGGGTTCTGAGGGGGGTAGTCAGGGGGCGGGAAGTGGGAGGGGGCGGATAGAGGGTGGGGGCCAGGCTGTTTGGGGAGGCACAGCCTTCCCTACCTGGCCCTCCATACAGTTTGCAACCCCAATGTGGCCCCAGGCCAAAAAGTTTGCCCACCCCTGATCTAAAACAAAGAAAATCCTGCTTTCCTGATCCCCACACTCCCTTTTCCTTCAAGGTAACATATTCTGTCAACCTCTTGAAACATACACATAAATTGTGTAGCCTTAGCATTACTGTTGATACATTTTTTCACTCTTATTTTTATAGTAAATGTAATGAGGTCATGAAAAATGTTCACTTTAAGTAAGGGATCACCAGCCTGAAATGGTTGAGAAACACTGGCCTAGGGGATGGGAATGAAAGATGCAGCATCAAGGACATTATGGAAGTGGGACCCCCAGAGACCCCAGAGGACTGGCTACAGACTTACAGAAAGTACAGAGATTTCAACCCCACAAAAGTCGCTGGGAGGATCTTGGCAATTCTGTTGTTATCCAGCATTCTGAAATGAGAAGAGGGAAACCAGAAGAACAGACTTTAGATGGAGAGGCAACTCCATAGGAACAAAGTAGGGGCTCTACTAGGTTAGGAAGGAGAGACCGTCTCACAAGCTTACATTTAGGTCTAAATTGTCCCTACGGGAGGTGGTTTCTTCCTTTTCTCCCTGACAGCAGAAATTCAGGTAACATCAGCTTCCTCCTCTCCTTCACTGCTTGGTCCCTCCCCCGTCCATCTTCACCCCCCACCCAAGCCAGAGGAGATGAGTACATAGATCACCCCTTTGAATTTCCACCCAGAGCATTCTGGCTGATGTGCTTACTCCGAGTTCAGAGTCTGGTTTCTTTCACAATCAGGGGGCTGCTGGATTTTTTTCTTTTGCTACAAAAATAAATGTTAAATTAAAAGTCCACTTGGGGAATTTGAGATTTAAGGGCACGTCCGGCTCCCCCAAAGATTTTGTGACCAGGTTCGCCTGAATATCTGGGATAATACTCGAACAGTGGGATTCATTAGGCTGGGCAAGATGCCGCTGAGGCCAAGAGCTTAGCAAGATTCCCACGTGGATTAGACCTCTATATGGTTAAGGAGAACATCACAGTGATATTAGATGGGACTCTAAAGGGCTGGGGGCCTGGGAAGTTCTCTCTCCAGGCTTAGCTAAGGTCAATAAGGCAGCCATCTTGCAAAGCAGACATTATTGTTCTACTTCGCTAATGATCCCTGTATGGGCTCCATATGCAGCACCACAGACCTGAGGAAGAACTGCCTGGGTGCCCATACAGGGATCACTAGAGAAGAGGAACAATAATGTCTGCTTTGCAAGATTGCTGCCTTACTGAGCTTAGCTCAGCCTGGAGAGAGAACTTCCCAGCACTTCAGAGTCCCATCCTCATAATTTGCGACCTGATCAACCAACCTCTCCCTTAAATAGCCTAGAAAAAACCTGAGCAGCAGCTCACTCAGGGTGGTCCAGAGTGCCAGTCTGCCACCAAATCTTTGTGGGGAGCCAGGCTGGCATATGCACACACACTGCCATGCCTGATCAGACCAGTATTTGGTCCACCTAGACCAGTATCCTGTCTCCAATAGTGGCCAGCAATGGATGCTTCAGAACGTTCAAGAAACCCCATTGTGGGCAATTACGGAGTAACCTGCCCAGAGAGAATGTTTCTTCCTAACCCCATAGGTTACCAGTTGGCTTATAGAATCATAGAATCATAGAATATCAGGGTTGGAAGGGACCTCAGGAGGTCATCTAGTCCAACCCCGTGCTCAAAGCAGGACCAATTCCCAACTAAATCATCCCAGCCAGGGCTTTGTCAAGCCGGGCCTTAAAAACCTCCAAGGAAGGAGACTCCACCACCTCCCTAGGCAACGCATTCCAGTGCTTCACCACCCTCCTAGTGAAATAGTGTTTCCTAATATCCAAACTAGACCTCCCCCACTGCAACTTGAGACCATTGCTCCTTGTTCTGTCATCTACCACCACTGAGAACAGCCGAGCTCCATCCTCTTTGGAACCCCCCCCCCCTCAGGTAGTTGAAAGCAGCTATCAAATCCCCCCTCATTCTTCTCTTCTGGAGACTAAACAATCCCAGTTCCCTCAGCCTCTCCTCATAAGTCATGTGCTCCAGACCCCTAATCATTTTTGTTGCCCTCCGCTGGACTCTTTCAAATTTTTCCACATCCTTCTTGTAGTGTGGGGCCCAAAACTGGACACAGTACTCCAGATGAGGCCTCACCAATGTCGAATAAAGGGGAACGATTAAGTTCCTCGATCTGCTGGCAATGCCCCATCTTATACAGCCCAAAATGCCATTAGCCTTCTTGGCAACAAGAGCACACTGTTGACTCATATCCAGCTTCTCGTCCACTGTGACCCCTAGGTCCTTTTCTGCAGAACTGCTCCCTAGCCATTCGGTCCCTAGTCTGTAGCAGTGCATAGGATTCTTCCGTCCTAAGTGCAGGACTCTGCACTTGTCCTTGTTGAACCGCATCAGGTTTTTTTTGGCCCAATCCTCCAATTTGTCTAGGTTCCTCTGTATCTGATCCCTACCCTCCAGTGTATCTACCACTCCTCCCAGTTTAGTGTCATCTACAAACTTGCTGAGGGTGCAGTCCACACCATCCTCCAGATCATTAATAAAGATATTAAACAAAACCGGCCCCAGGACCAACCCTTGGGGCACTCCGCTTGAAACCGGCTGCCAACTAGACATGGAGCCATTGATCACTACCCGTTGAGCCCAACGACCTAGCCAGCTTTCTATCCACCTTACAGTCCATTCATCCAGCCCATACTTCTTTAACTTGGCGGCAAGAATACGGTGGGAGACGGTATCAAAAGCTTTGCTTTGCTAAAGTCAAGGAATAACACATCCACTGCTTTCCCCTCATCCACAGAGCCTGTTGCAGAAGGGTTTATATCTCTGATATGCTTAATCCCATCTAATATCACTGTGATGTTCTCTTTAACCATATAGAGGTCTAATCCACACAGGAATCTTGCTAAGCTCTTGGCCTCAACAGCATCTTGCCCAGCCTAATGTTCGAGTATTATCCCAGATATTCAGGCAAACCTGGCCTTAAACTCAATTCCATCCCCTTACTCCTCACTGAACCCTGGTGGGCCACCCAATGGAAAGAGGCACTTACAGCCATTCAAGATGATGCAGATCCTGGAAGACTCTTGGCTTCAGCTCAGTGATGTTATTGTGACTCAGGAACCTGGAATTGTTAAAGAGAAGAGAAGAAAAGTGACCTTGGGTTGATGCTGTTGGTTAAACTGGTTTTTATTCATCATCCATTTCCTGCCAGCAGCTCCCCTAAGCCTTATTTTAGGGGTGTGAATGGGGATATCCTCACGTCATCTGCATTTTGCAGGGGCAAGCCTGATTTGGAATGAATCATGTGGGGAGGGGAACATGAGAGAGAAACATTTGTAAGAGCCAGAAGTCCTCCCTCCCCCATAACATGGTGCTCTAATTTCAAACATCGTTCTTGCTGGGGAGGGCGGGTATATTTTGTTCAGCCACATGTCTCCAGAGGTGCTGCTAGACCACGTGCATTTAGGCTGCATTCATTCTGTGCTAAGAGGACTGAAACACGGAGACTGTCAATAACCCCCTCTCCCCTGCGACCCACAACATGAAAACCTTTTACTCACAATATTTTAAGCTTGGAAAGTCCAGCAAAAGCATGGGGCAGTATTGACTGGATTTCGTTGTGCTGTAAGAGGCTGTTTACAAACCAAACAGAAATATCTCAGGGTTAATAGGGTTTCCACAGTGCTCCCAGCCCCTCCTGGTCCCCAGGACTGAATCAAACCTGTATCACTTCTGCACAGATGTACAGAGCGCTAGCAGCCCTGCCCACCCCTCAGAGAGATCAGGACTAAGCAATGAAACAGTCTCTTGCACAGCAATGTACAGCACTCCCATCCCCAGTAGCCCAGGGAGTGAGAGACCAGCACTGGGAATGGACCACAGTGAAGGGGAAGATGTTTTTATGGATAAAAGTACAGGACTGGCAGTCAGGAGTTGGGGGCTTGAGCCTTGGCCCTGCTAACAGGCTTTCTGTGCAACTTTGGGAACGTCACTTCAACGTTCTCTGCCTCAGTTTCCCCATCCGAGGGGAGTGAAGATGAAAGAACAAATGCTTGGAAATCATTAATGGCAGCTCTGAGATCCTGGTGCACTAGAGACAAGCACGGCACTATTATTATTATTACAAGCAAGGACGCTAGGCCGGGATCCAACCTGAAAGAACAAAATCTGTTCTGAGTGATCTCAGATCATAAACTCGCTGACGTGTCAGGCTGGAAATATCTTGTTTACCCAAGTGAAATGACTTGTAGAAAAGGTGCTGGAGTCTTCCAGGACAGAGAGCTGTTTGCTGTTCTCCCCTCTGCCATTTAACAGCCATGTTGGACTCTGAACCTCCCAGACCCCATGTTATGTGAGCAAAAAGGTCACTTTGATTCCTCACCCCCTACTTAGCACATTATAATGGAAGCAGTGCAGGAAGGGCCCATGATATCTATGACAGATACCCACTGACTTCAATGCGCACTGGCTCAGACCACATACAAAATAATACAATCACTGACAGAGCCAGCCAACCACGCTCAGTGATAACTAACTAAGGAACAATTGTAAACAAGGCCTTACCCAACCCTCCCGCTTTCTCTGCTCCTCTGACTCTGAAGCCGAACGCCCAAGAGGCGCGATGGTGGATTATTAAAATGAGAAAAACCGCAGCCTCTGAGGACACAGGGCCCCGCCAGGCTGAAGAAGTCAAGGTCATCATCTCTTGCCTAGCCAAACTGGTCCTGCATAATATGGGCTTATTCTTTAAATGTGGCGCTGCTGACTCAGCAAATTTGCTACTCTTCCTCCTTCCCCCCCCCCCCCCCCCCCCCGTGCCCTTGTCGATGAGCTGGCCGCTCTGAGGGGGTGGTACTTACAGCTTCTCCAGACTTCTGTACATGATAAACTGGTTGTCCCACAGTGAGTGGATTTTATTAATATTCAGAACCCTAGGGAGGGGTGGAAAGAAAAACCAGGGACCACTGATCAAGAAATACGTTGTGAACAATTAAGAAATGCAGGTCTCTTTACTCCCACCAGCCTCCTCCCAGGTAAAGTCCCCTCTTCCTATCTTATCTGAGTAACGTGTGTGAGACGTGTGGCTCTCTGCTATCCATTACTGATCGCATTTGCCAACAGCACTTCTTGAATTGCCAGCATCATTTTTGACACCTGAGGGTTTTGAGTGCTGCAACCCTTCCCCCCCCCCACACACACCCCGATTCCTGTATGCAAATGGCGTTTGCCTGCTCAGACTGAGTAGCCAGGCTCGTTCTGCCATCTGGGCATGCCGCTCAGATGTCATGAGCCCAAAACGCTGCATGGCCTCAAATATCGGACATGCCAATTTTTTAGACAAGGTTCACAGCCCCTTGCAGAGTTATTCATCCTCGGTAGAAAGGGGCTAGAGAAATGCAAAGGGTCCATTATTTAATGCCAATAATCCAGGGAAAGACAACAACTCAGTACAAACTAATGGATGGGAAATTCATTCAGTTTGATGTCAAAATTTTCTTCTTGCCTTCACAGCAAGCACTTTGCAGTTAGGCCCACCCTGGGGGATGAAGCCTGGGGCTCTGGCCAAAAGGCTCACAGTTTACCAGCCATCTCTCCAGCTATTGGTGGCTTAGACCTCTCTTGCCTGATTGGCACAGAGCACCTGGCAGCAGCACCTCCAGCATTAAAATGCAGCCTCATGGGTTTGATCATAGAGGATTAGGGAAAAGCTGAGATTTGAGCATCTGGGGCATCCTTAATCTAAGCGATAAAGGTCTCCTTGTGATAATCCCAGACTCAGTTTGCTAGATAACAGGCACAAATTTCTCTGCATTATCACCTTTGGAACTAGCTTCCTCTGCAGCCTTGCCACTAGGTGGCACTACCCCCTTGATGATTGATGCTATGCAGCACAGTGAGACAGGCTAAAAATGGGAATCACCAGGGCGAATTTCCCACTGGCTCCAATTTTGCAAAGAAAGGGACACATTTACCCCATGGTGGCCCCTGTTACTCACAGCTTCGTCACGTTGGAGGAGACCCAGGGGACAGTGTGCAAGTTCTGGCCGGTGCAGTCTATCATCCTTCCCTGGCACTGGCATTCCTCTGGGAACCGGTCAAGCACTGGGGACAAGCACAAGGGAAACAGTGAGACTGGAGACAGACAGGATCTCAGTATGTGGCTGGGCAGGTGAGCAGATAAAAGGACACACTGGTGAACAGACAGGGGTCAGGGCTGGCTGGATATGTCGGGGTCAAAGGGACAGGGGACGGCAGACACACTCCTAAAGAGCAACACGGGAGCAGTGGAGGGGATGAAAGGAGAGGCAGGGTGTGTGAAGGGAGAGGAGACAGAAGGGGAGAGATGCTTTCTTGAACTTCTCAGGTCTGGGCTGGGAATCTCGCAGGGCCAGCCTTGGTTGGGATATTTCAGCACATCCAGGCCTGGACAGAACCAGGAAGACCAAAAAAGCAGATTCACCCTGGTGGGAGTGAGGGAGGGTGAGTCGAACTCCCCCAAACCTGAGCAAAGCTCAGTCTGAATTTTGGGTTAGGCTCCAGGGTGAGATTTTACCAACTTCCCAGGATCCCAACTTTAGAGCTTGTTCAAACCTCACAGGGTCACGAGGTAGCACCTTTGCCATGCAGAGGCAAGCACGGCACTATTATTATTATTACAAGCAATCCCACTCCAGAGGGAGGGGCGTGAGAGACAGGAATGAAAGAGGGATGATGAGAGGGGAAAGGGGGCAGAGAGAGCACAAAAGGGGAGGAAGCGGGGGAGACAGGAGGGCTTGAGCAGTAGCATGGGGAGGCTGGGGAAGACACAGTAGAAGAGGAGGGAATACAAAGCCAGCCCCAGGAATGGAAATACTCACCACAGACTGGGGTCTCCTCTTCCTCAGTGGCTCTGCTGCCCTTGGTTTGCTGCATGTCATCCAAGATCTGCAGCCACCCGCTATTATCCACTAGAAAAGAGAAGGCAAAAGTCATGCAGGTTTGTCCGCCCCCCCCCTCCCCCCCCGCATCTCACAGCAGATTCACTCACTGCTCCTCCCCATGCCCAGCCTCCCCCAGGCTCGCTCACCCCCACTCTGATTCCTGATCTTAGTGCTGGGAACCACGCGCTTGAGAGACGTTTACATCAGCGCTGGGCCTGAACCAAACGCCTGGATCAGAATACCCCTGAACTCGGAGGGAGGGAATTCAGAATCTGAACTGAAGCTGGTTCTTGCAGTTGGAGCCCATTTTTATAAGCCTTAGATCCGAATCCCCTGAAACATGGGGTGTTCAAAACCTGGATCCAGCCCCATGTTTGGTGACTTCAGCCCATCTCTAGTTTACGCTAGCTCCTGCCCACTACCCCTTTGACTCCCTACTGTGTCCTGACAGGATATTCCTCTTCTGCTGGGTCTTACATTCCTACATTTAAAGCTGGGGTGATCTCCATCTGACAACCCCATACCTAGACATCTGTGTCATTATTAGAAGGTCAGAGGAAATTGTACTCTCCCAGTAAGAGATTTATACCTTCAGTGATCGCTGCAAGGCAGCCAGGTAACCATAAGTGACCCTTAAAGTCTGCCCCTGTGTTCCTGTTCCTAGAATCCCCTTGAATATATTGGTGGTTCTGGATCTGGGATTTCCAGGTCCACATGGTTTATTAACTACAGGGCATCTGCCTTTGGTCTGGCGGCAAGGAGAAATGGAAAGAGGGGACAGGCTGTGAGGTTAGCTAATTACCGCAGTTCTCTTCGTCAGCGCCGTTGTCGCAGTCCTTCTCTCCGTTGCAGTGCAGGAGCTGGGGTAAACAGACAGACAGGTTGCCACAGGGGAACTGTCCCAAAGGGCAGGCATAGCTGTCCAGCCTGGAATGAACCAGAAGAGACTCTGCCAAAGGAAAGCAAGACACAGTCAAAAAGCATCCTTGAACAGGCCAGTCCCCTGTCCCCGCCTACGGCTGGCTTAAGACCCACCTCTCACCCTTGGCTTACTAGTGCTGATCTTGCCAGGACACGGCAATCCATTACTGTATGGTACCCTATTACTGCACATTAGCCCAGTCCCATCTGGCATGACTTATCAGTGGGATTCTAGCAGCACCAGTCCATCTGGACTATGCTCCTTGATTGTTCAGATGTCTCCCAGTGCTCTGGCAGGGTCTGAGAACTGCAAAGAGCAGACATGCCCTGACATTGTAAGAGCATGAAGAGATGTCTCACCATAGCCAAGAGACATTTCCCCTCCTCCCTCTCAAATGAGAGAACAGGAAACAGAAGCAGTAGCAAATTCTGCACCGCCATCCGACGATTCCATCTGGGACAGTGGAGGCATCTCAGAAAACGCTTGCAGAAAAATCATCATTATGAAAAAGAATCCAGCACAGGTCAGCAGTGATGGCAAGACGTGCTCATCAAATGGCTGTTTTGTGGCCAACGTGACAGACATGCCACAAAATCACCAGGACAGTTAATACTAATAGATTCTGCCACCGGATTATTGCTATTTACTGAGAACCATACAGCTTGCTGCTGTACATTATGTAAGGGGAGAGCTGGTTCTTGTGGTATGAAGCTCACCATGGCACTATGTTCGATACAGACACAGACACATAGTCTCCTTTTGTAACTTGGTTAATTTAGTTTTTAAATCCTCATTATCTGCTGGGTGAATGGCCCTTGAAATGCCTGACAGGAGAAGGGGTGAGGTTCAGGAGGAATTTGGTTGGTCATTGAGGCTGAAGTCCCCTAGAGGGTTGGGTTTCATGGGAATGGATAAGGCACATTGAGGGTGATGAAGAAGGGGAGCCATGCTGTGCCTGCTCTGAGGAGAAATCGAGGCCATCGGTCTCCGGGACTGTCAATCCAGCATCTTTCCCCACCACAAGAAAACTACAAAGGAGGACACGAGACCCGACACTGACTTCCCGTCTACATGACTCACTCCAAAGTGTCCTCCCTCTGGGCTTTGGGTGGCAGGACTGCTCCGCAGGACATGGGCCATGCTCGGTGGGGTATGTGTGAGGTGACGGGGTGCCAGCGACAATCAAGATAAGGCCCTTTAGGCAAGAGGTCGCTGTCACTCCTACTCTGTTTGGAGCTGAAACCCACTTATGTTCCAAGGGGGAGTAAAATAACTCCTGCTGGGTCAGACATCAGATCTCCAGGGCTGGCCAGGTTACTTCCAGCCAACATGGGGTCACTCCCTAATGAGACACAAAGGAGTTGGAGATCTATTAGACTGTGAAATGGTGGCTGCTGCATCCTTTATGTCACTGAAAATCAGACTGGAGAATAGACTGTAGGGGCCAAACCTGCACTGGCCAGGGAGCTGGACTAGATGGGACCTCGGCAGAGGAGCAGGAGGTGGCTTGACTCACACTGACTGCTCTTCTAAGATGGCAGCAACCTCAGGAAAAGGTGTAGAGGGACCCTCTGGTGTGGGGAGTGACAGCCCCTTCTCTGGAGTGGTTCCAGGCGGCACAGCAGAGAGGCAGCTTGGTGTACAGGCAGAACTGGGAACAGGAGGTCTTTTCATGGAGTTACGTACGCCAAGGAAAGCAGAAGAGACTCAGACACATTATTAACTACAGTATAACAAACCAGCTCCATAGCCCTCTGGAAAAGCCACCCTCCCCTGAGGTGCAGTTCACTCCCTGTGATCATTAGCCTCAGTAACTTAAACCTCCACTTTGCGGAGCCCTTTCCGTCAGGCAGCTCTGAAACATCAATCAGAGCTTCAAAGCACCCCAGCCACTCAGCTCTGTTCATTAATATCCTACAATTAACTGTGTCAAAAGCACTCTCCAGATCAAGCAAAATGTTTCCATGCACTCGCCTTTGATCAGGGCCCGAGGAAGCTATCGCAGTCTATGGCTGTGACAGAACAGTGTGAACAGCCCGGGCTTGTCATTCAAGGTTTTCTGCTGCTGCTAACATTCCCACGGATAGTGGCTGATGGTCTGTGTTTAACACTGAAGACGCATCTATTAGCTGATTTCATAATGTGGGGCAGTGAGTGTCATTTGTACCACTCACCATTTCACCTGGCAATGGATGTGCTTTGGGTGGTTGGGTCATTTCTCCTCTCCCTCCTCCCTCCCCCAATCCCTGAGTCCCAAGGATTCAAGCTGGTGTATTTTACTGAGACGATTATGACCCCAGAGGCAAGTTGTAATAAAAAGAAGAGGAACGTGGAGACAGGACTGGCAGCAGGTATAAGTGGTATAAGTCAGTGTCGAAGCCGGCACTTAGTCTAAAGCAGTCCCTGCCCCAAGCAGCTTGCGGTTTAGCTTAGAGAGCTACAGTCCAAACAGTCAGAGGTGGGAGAGAGGCATCAGTCCCAGTCAAAGTTGGCCCGTGGTGGAAGGCAAGGGGAATGAATTTTAAAGGGAGATCTGTGAGTCTCAAAGAGGAGCTGCAGGAGAAGACTGTTCCAAGTGTAGGGGCATGTGGGCAATCTATCTCTTTACGGGTGGCAGGATGCAATAGAAACACAGACAGCATGCTATGTGCTTGGAAAGCTGCCACAGCTGCAGGATAGCAGAGAGGGCGGTGACCCTTTCCTCCCTTCCAAGTGCCCCTCTGAACATGGCTTTATTCTGGGTCAATCACAGGGTTATAAGATTCCTAGGGGCTAACAGAATTTCTCCTACTGGTGGTGAGGGGAGTTCACAGACCATCGGGGTCATCACAACACTGTTCCCGGCACCCCCCTTCCTCGTGCCTCGTGGGGAGGATTGCAGCCGGGTTTTGCAGCAGGAGTCACCGAACTCTTAGGCAGCAAAGATCCCAATTTCTCGCCACTGCCCTCAGTGACCAGAGAAATGCAGAGAGTATGCTAGCGCCACAGAATTGATTCTAATCAGAATGGTCCTTCCGTGAAGCATAGACATCTCTTTAGGGTTTGGCCCATTTCTAGAGAGGTGCTCCAGAGGACAAGGAAAAGGAGCAGATGGAACTCAAAGCAGTTTGCAGTGAACAGGCTACACCCTAGAAGCTGCCTCTGATTTACTACGCCAGTGGCTAATAGCAGGGAGCACACAATATGCACAGTGACGTTATTTATAGTGCAAAATAGTACCCAAAAGTTGCTACACCCTGGGCAGACGCAGTCCCTATCCTGAACACTTTACAGTCTCACCAAAGGCTCATCTGCATGAATGCCCTATCTTTTCACAGGCTGACGCTGCCTGGATCGGAAGTATTTTTCCACATTAACTCAGTGTTTCAGCAGCCTCTCTGTAACAATTGGTTGGAGCAGCAAAACAGCAGACCCTGGCAGGGTCCCCAGCCGTATATCTTCCACATGGGCCCTGGGGACCCGTTAACCTTTTATCAGATTTATTGACGCATCTGGGATGTTTGTTCTGAGGGAAACATGGTCCCAAAATGCCTGCAACACCCTCTGGAGCTAATCAACATGATTAAAAGTGTTTAATATTTGGAGCAGCAATAGACTTTGAATCCATGAATCTTTCCCTAAAAAACTGGAGCTTTCCCAAAAACCGCTGGAGAGAGCTATATCCATCCTAGGCCATAAAACTGATCTGAACAACATTTCTAACAGCCACAGCCAGTGCTTGTCCTCCTTGCTACATCTTAAGTTACAACACAGAGCCATTTGTGGGCAAAGTTGCAACTTCTTAGAACTGTTCTAGGTGCAGCGTGGGCACTTCGGGCATGTTCCAGAACCTGAGAATTAATCTACTAGTTGGGATCAAACAGAACCCCGCCCCCCGCCCCCCCGAGCTCTTTCTTTCCCGTTTTGAAGGCAGCATCTGACGTTAGCTGGGGAGTATTCAGTATCACACGTCAATGTCTGGGCATCTCCAACAGCTGGGTCTGCTCTCCTTCCATCAGAGCTGGAGACACCTCAGGATTCCATTTCAGGCTCTGCCTGGGGTCAGTGTCTCCATTGCAGAGCTCTGAATATGTAGTTCTCTTATTTAAAGTGAATGTATTTATTTAGGCTCATATCAGACATCAAGACGCGTCTGTCCTGAGCTCCAGACACCACCTCTGCCCCAAAAGCCTGGGGAGATAGATGGGTCTTGTACCCTGCCCTGAAAATCAGCAGGATCAAGCCATTTCAGCCAAAGCAAGGAGTCCGTTCCAAAGTGGAGGGCTCCTCACAGAGAACATTCTGCCATCAATCAGCCTCCTCTCTCCTATACCAAGGGGGTTCCAGCTTGAGCACCCCCAATGCCACAGAAGGAGAGAGCTGCCTCTGCAGCATACAGGTCCCAAGCTATTCAGGGGGACTTTGGAGGTAAACACAGACTGCACCTGGAAGCCAACAGGCAGCAGCCAATGCTGACTCTGGAGCCCTTGTGCCATGTACTTCCAACAAAATAGACCACCGTCGCAGTCTGCCGAAGTTCCCCGTGTAGGCCATGTTGCAGCAGCGTAGTATGGAGGAGACAAAGACATGGCTTTCGGTAGCAAAGTCCATGTCAATAGCATGCTCCAGGCCAAACAAGGATGAAAAAAGCCATTTTGGTCACTGCAGCTCCACCAGCCTCTAACAGCAACGCTGGACCAACGATCACCCCAGATGGCAAACTCTGACCACACCTGGCAGACACACCTGGCAAAAGAAGGACTTCCCCTGCCAACCAACTCCACCACAGTTTTACCTGCATTGACTTCAGACATGTAGCTCTCATCCATGCCCTGGTCTCAGACACTGGGCAAGGCTTTCAACAGCACTGATTGGGTCAGATGAGCTGCAAATATAGCTGGGTTTCATCACATCTCCCCATCAGCCCTCCCAACAGCCCCATATACTCATTGAACAGGAGGGGAGGCAAGGTGGAACCCAGCCCCCTTAGGGATGCTGAGCAATTGCTCATCACCAGCCATTGGGAACTTTCAGTAAGGAATGAACAG